CGAATCACATTTCACGTATCCATTCAATGCAAGTCTTCCAGCTTCTATTCAGCTCAGACAAATTATATTTAATTCCTCGAAAATTCGGATGATCTTTGATCGGGGCTTTGAGGATTTATATAAAAAATTATACTTGACTTTACCAGTCAACATTCTAATGAATCAACCTTTGGTCAGGTCATAATTCTCTTTAGAGACATTTATTTCACAATAGACCCAGGAGGGTTACCGATTTCGTTGAAATGCTACGCGTATGTTTAATATCATCTATACTCCGATATGAGTGGATTTCATATTAAAAGTCGATTTTTTTAAAAAACATATTTTCGTTAAAAGGATTAATTATATTCGTATATGATAGACCTCGTGTCATAAGTCGATTTTAGATTATTTATTCAAAAAATACTTTCATTAACATTTGTTCCAAAAAATATGACTTAAGTTTAACCTTTCCGAAACAGAAGTCTAAGGAGTGTAATTTGGAATGAATGCGGTGATGGTACCTACAATTTATAAAACATAGGTATACATACTTTTTCATTTGTATTGCTATTTCTGATATCATATTGAGACCAAATATTGCATTCGTTGTTCCAGAGTCTGTAATGAAATCGTACTTTTCTTGTGGTATTTCAGAACCAATTCTGCTTGGTGTTCTATTCCTGAGAATTTGGATGATGTTTAGTTAAATGGCTCATTAGCTTGATTGTCCGATGGAGTTCATATACGTTTGCATCCGACTTCTTAGTCAACGGTATGAAAATGGATTGTCTTTGCTTTTCCGATATGTAACCACAGCTGTATATTATTTATTATGTCTGTAATTTTGTCAAGGCCGAAATAAACTAAAGCTGAGAGTATTTCTATGGCAATTCCATCTGGTCTTGTTGCTTTGTTATTGTTTAGTGCTGGTTTCACTTCAGATTTTAATATTTCTAGTCATTCGATATTTTTGTGTATTGTTGGTTATTCCTTATTTAATCACTGTGTAAGATTTAATCCCTATTTTCATTTCGCACACACACACACACACACACATACAAAGATAAATATATATATATATATATATATATATATATATATATATATATATAAAGAAAGAACAGTAGGATATATAATCCAGTGTTCTTATAGATATTTTTATTTTTACAAAATAGCGCTCAATGTAAATTTACAGAGCTTTGTTATATTACTAAGTTTATAAAAAAACAAAAATTTACTGAATCAGAGAAATGAAATAGCTATTTCATGCCGTCATTGTCAAAAATTTTCCTTAAATAGTATTTAAAAATAGAAATAAATTTAAAAAATGCGACCTAGTAATATACGGACTTATATATAATGGAAAAAATAATTTTATATACTGTAAGTAATTCTATTACATTTACAAAAAATAGTCTATTAAAATAACAGTGAAAATACTTTAAAGTTGTATTTAAAATTTTAGTTAAAACGAATTCTGACCTAAACATCTTTTAAAATTGTAGTTAAATAAAACGTATTCTAACCAAAAGACCTCTCTCAAAGTACTACCGGCTCTTAAAGGAATCCAATAAAACACCTACAGAAAAATGAAATTATGATGCAAAGCTATAAGATGTAGGTCATTGAATGTCCCATGTCCTTTGTACAGACATGTGAAACTATATATTACTAAGTATTAAAAAAAAATAAAAAAATAAAGTTTACTAAATCAGAGAAATGAAATAGCTTTTTTTTACCGTAATTGTCATAAATTTTACTTAAATAATATTTAAATATAAAAAATTTTAACAATCGTAATATACAAACTTACACTTGATATGTAAAAATAATTTTACTTACTGTAAGTAATTCTAATACATTTACTTCTTTTAAAAAAGAAATATAGTCTATTAAAACTAACAGTGAAAATATTTTAAAGTTGTATTTAAAATTGTAGTTAAATAAAAAGAAATTCTAACCTTAACATCTTTTAAAATTTTAATTAAATAAAACATAGTCTAACATATAGATCTCTCTCTAAGTACTACAAGCACTTAAAGGAATCCAATAATAACACCTACAGTAAAATGAAATTAATATGAAAAGCTAGAAGATGTAATCCATTGAATGACCCATGTCCTTTGTACTTACACAAGAAACAAGCTATTACTAGGTTTATATAAAAAATAAAAAGAATAAAAGGTTACTAAACCAGTGAAATCAATTAGCTTTTTTTGGCGTCATTGTCATAAAGTTTATTTAAATAATATTCAAATATAAATAAAAAAAATTGTTACCTAATAATATACATACTTATAGTTGATGTGAAAATAATTCTACATACTGTAAGGGATTCAATACATTTACTTGCTCTTAAAAGAAATATAATATATTAAAAATTAAAAGTGGAAATATTTTTCAAATTGTAGTTAAATAAAACGTATTCTAACCTAACCCCCACCCAATCTTTAAATATACAAATAGAAAAAATAAAATTTAAAAAAAAATCCAGACGACATGCATTTAACGGATTTCAGATTTCATTGAAAAATACATCCCTACCCCTACCAAAACGTAACTAATAACTGATACATCAAAATACAGATATAATGAACATGCAGCACCCCTTGTCTAGTAGAAGTGGATTTGTCTGTAACCTTGGAAACGTGAATTATGATTTTAGCTGTGTCTTTAAAACCCAGTAATTTTAAAAGTTACTCCAAAATTCGCTTGAGGAGGAAATGGAACTAATGTCTTTAATTTAATTACAAAATTAAATTCGGACCTTCCATTTTTGAAACATGGTTAGAACTGTGTAGCGGAAAAACCATATTTTAAATCAATTTATTTATAATAATTATATATATATATATATATATATATATATATATATATATATATGTATGTATTTAAGTTTTTATTTTTATTTTTCCTTAGTTATTATATTTATATATAATTTTCATTGGAAACGACTCGTAAGATACTACGGTTAATTTTATTTATTTTTTCATGTGTTTTATAATTTTCGTAAATTATATAGAAATAATCCAGATGTTTTGTATATCCGAGCGCTTTCGGCTATACATTTAGCCATTATTAAGGTTAAATATTCCTATAAGTCTAAATACATACATAAGAGAATCCATAGAAATAATATTCATCCATTGATTTTATTTCATTTTCCGACATAATTTCACATTCTGTCTTTATTAGCATCTCACAAAATGGCGATTTCCCCTCTGTTATCAAACACTAGAAGAAAACGTAAAGTCATTAAACTCTAGTTTTACAGAGAAAGTGTCAGCCCAATCCCGGAAGTTATCATGTATCAAGTGGCAATGCAGCTTCGTTCTTTGAACCAGAAATTGAACAGTGACATTACATGCTACTGATCGATGCTTACATATAACCTACTCGGTAGTTTAGTTAGCGTTTCTTCTTTGTTTTCAGAGACATTAAGAGTCGAGCTCAGGACAAGGCCAAAATACTGATTATCAAGTTAGACAGACTTTTCCTTCTTGAGTAATTAACACAAATTTCCTTCCCCTCTTTCTGTAGAATTGTGTTAGAAGCATACCTTTAGCAAATTTCGAAGTCGGTATTTAGGCAGTTTTATCTTGTCTGGAACAAGGATATTGCTACAGAGCATAAATTCAGTTTAAACTCATCATCATTAGTATGCAATACATTATATCAAACATCCATAAGTATTTACTAAATTAAACTTTGTCGAAATGGAGGTCTTTAAAATGAAAGACTCAGTGACGCTCTTGGTGGATTATTCCAGACACTCATATAAAACGGACCAATATTTACCTTTTGACTCAAGTATAAATTAGTTGGCAATATGCTTATGTATAAACGCAACCATTACTTGCCTATATATTCAAGTATAAATCGGACCAATGTTTAAGTTTTGACTCAAATATAAATCGGACCAATGATTATAAGTCAAGACTAAACAGGACTAGTTTATGCTATGACTAAAGTATGAATCAGACCAATGTTTAAGCTTTGACTCAAGTCTTAATCAGGCCTATGTTTAAGTTTTGACTCAAATATAAATCGGACTAATGCTTATAAGTCAAGAGTAAACAGGACCAGTTTATGCTATGACTAAATGATTATCTTCGGGCGCAAGTATAAATTAGACTAATGTTTAAGTTTTGATCCAAGTACAAATCGGGCCAATATGATTAAGTTTTGACTCAAGTATAAATTGGACCAATGGTTACAAGGCAAATCTAAACAGGGTAGAATTTATCTTTTGGCTCAAGTATGAATCAGACCAATATTTACGCTTTGTCGCAAGCATAGACACGTCCAATCTTTACCTTTTCACCCAGTAATAAAGTGGACCAATGCTTACATTTTAGACCAAGTACAAAACGGACTAATTTCTAGTTTTTGCTTTAAGCATACCCGAAGCAATGCTTACTTTTTGATCTCTGGTATATTATAAAACCGATTTCGACATTAATTGACTCAAGGAAGGCTAACCAAACCTTACCCTGACTGAAGGAGACTTTATCAGCGGGTAAAATTACGTGATTTGTCCTTGAATTCCCCCCCCTTTTTTTCCTCCGTTTCTTAGAAGAAACGACCAGAGGCATCGAACTGCAAAGCTTGCATGTTTAAATCGTCTGGTATAACCACATAGCTGTTCTCGCGGTTAATGAGACTTAATTCACTGAACTAGGGATCGGTTGAATTATGAATCCAGCATGTGAGTCCAGGTCCAATGTCATTGTGACTTTGAAATATCTAATGTACTGTTTTTTGTTTTGTTCTTATTTTTATTTATTTATTTATTTATTTATTTTTTGCAAAAGATATCGGATTTATACACTTTTGTTTGTTTTTGTTTTTTCGCCTTCAAAAATGTTTATTTTCTTTTCTGCCTAATCTCGGCGATTTGATGACTTTTTCGCTCGACTGATTTGTCGTCTTCATCGACGTTCGATCTTGTTTTTCTGCTTCACAAAATAAATCTCACGAATTTCTTCTCTTTTCTCTCTCATTTCTCTTTTGTTTTAATGCCCTCTTCTACTCGTTCTAATCATTGTATTTTTTTTCTTTTCTTTCCCAATTGTTGCATCCTTTCCTTTTTCTTAGATGTTTTTATTTGTTTCTTTCTTCCTTGCTTCACAAATTATTTTCCACTCATTTTCTTTTCCTTCTTTTTTCTTTTCTTTCTTTTTTCTTTCGTTTTTCTGCCTTTCTTTCCCTTATTTTTTCCTTTTTTTTACACTTAAATCTCTTATTCAGATCTTTTCCCATTGACAAATTTATTTTAACTTTCTTTTTCTCTATTTTTTATCAATATTCTTTCCCTCATTCTCGCACCAAAGCCTTCATTTTTCCCTTCCTTTTTTCTTTCGTTTTCTTTAGCGATTCTTTCTTTCGTTTTCTTTAGCGATTCTTTCTTTTTTCTTTCTTTTTCTTTCTTTGTTCTTTCATTCTTTCCGTCATTTTTATTTCTTTTTACGCTTAAATCTTTTCTTCCGATCTTTTCCCATTCATAAATTTCTTTCTTTCTTTCTTTCTTTCTTTCTTTCTTTTCCAAATTCTCTCCATCAATTCCTTTTTCTTTCTATTAATTTCTTCCATGTTCTCTCATTCTTGCACCAGAACCTTCAATTTTTCTTTTATTTTTTCCTGACTTTAAAATATAACTCAGTTGCCGTCCTTTCTTATCTGTTTAGTTTCCTTTTCTCTTTCTTTTTCCTTCTCCTATCGTTTTATTTTTTATTTCTCTCTTTGAATCCTATTTCTTTCTTTCTATCTTTCTTTCTTTTTTTTCTTTTTTCTTTCTTCCTTTCTTTCTTTCTTTCTTTATTTTCTTTTGTGGTTGTTAAGGTCAACTTTATTCGTTCTTTTTCCTTTCTCACTATGTTATTTCTTCCCATTTTTTTTCTATTTCTCTCCATTTTTTTTCTATTTCTCTCCATTTTCATTTTTTACTTTCCACTTTTCTTTTTCTTCCTTCCTTTATAATTTTGTTTCTCTCATTTGCTCTCTAATTTGATCGCATTATTTTTCCCTTTTCACTTCTATCTTTGTATAACCTTTCTACACACGCCTCCTCTTTGTTTTAAACTTATTCCCTCCTCTCTCTCTCTCTCTCTCTCTCTTCTCTCTCTAAAGTTTCACTAATTTCTCTCCTAACGCTCAATTTGTTTTGCTCCTTATTTCGATTTCACACCTTAAATATTTCTTAATCTGTTGAAATTGTGACATTCTTTCTTTCTTTCTTTCTTTCTTTCTTTTTTATTAACCATTTTCTCTTTGCTTCAACTTTTCTTTTTCTGTGACGTTTCCTTTTATTTTGTTTCTTTAAATAAATCATTTTCTTCCTTTCTTTTAATTAATGTTTTTTCTTTCTTTCTTTCTGTCTTATTGATCTATTTTATTAATCCATTCCTTTTTGCTTGCGACTAGACTCTTTCCTTTTGTCTTTGTTGTTTTATTGTTCATTTTCATTATTTGTTTGTTTGTTTCTTTCCTTCTTTTCCTTCATTTTCTTTCCTTCATTTATTTTTCTTTCTTTCTTTCTTTACGACGATTTTTTTCTTTTTATTTTGTCGGACTTTTTTTTTCTTTCTTTGCTATTAATCTTTATTTTTTGCTATCAATTTCTTTCTTTCTATCGGCTATTTTCTTTCTTTTTTCTTTCTTTTTTTTCTTTCTTTTTTTTCTTTCTTTTTGTCTTATTGATCTATTTTATTAATCCATTCATTTTTGCTTGCGACTAGACTCTTTTCTTTTGTCTTTGTTTTTTTTTATTGTTCATCTTCATTATTTGTTTTTGCGTCTTTCTTTCTTTTTCTTCATTATTTTTTGTCGTTATTATCGGCCATTTTCTTTCCTTCATTCATTTTTCTTTCTTTCTTTCTTTACGACGAAATTTTTCTTTTTCTTTTTGTCGGCTGTTTTCTTTTCTTTCTTTCTTTGCTACTAATCTTTATTTTTTGCTATCAATTTCTTTCTATCTATCGGCTATTTTCTTTCTTTCTTTTTTCTTTCTTTTTTTTTACTTGTCCTTCCATTTGCTCAAAGCAAAAAAAGGAAAACAAAAAAACTAGAAATAAAAACAGATATTTCTGACCACGAGCAATGTGTTACCTTTTACTTCTTTGTGTTTTTCGCGCTAATCTTTTACTACATTTTTTTGCTATTTTTTCTGGCATTGATAATCAGCGCTTCGACAAATCTCACGCCTTCGACAGAATTGCGAAAAAATGAAGCGGATTGAAGCGATGATAACCATCTACAGCACTCACCACGCCCTTCAGCACAAACATCGCCTCATTCTACATCCCGAACAAACCAACACCGCTGTCATATTGGTGGGATAGGGTAAGGGTGATAAAAAAACAAAAAGAAAAAGAAAATAGAAAAATCGTTTTCTGCGTATGTGAATGGAAATGGGTTGCACTGAAACTAACGGAGAAGGTGGACTGAATTTCACGCCACACAGTTTCTACCCGAAGGGACATGGGGGAGGGCGATCTCCAGTGATAGAATGTTGCTTACTTTCTATGTCGTCCTGCACATAACACATCTGGAAAATAGGGTCCGATGTTTGCACGTGTCTCTTAGAATTCTTTACGTTTTCATACTCACTATCTATCTATCTATCTATCTATCTATCTATCTATCTATCTATCTATAGCAGTCTTTTCATATGTATCTATCGCAGTCTTTTCATATCTATCTATCTATCTATCTATCTATCTATCTATCTATCTATCTATCTATCGCAGTTTTTTCATCGCAGTCTATCTATCTATCTATCTATCTATCTATCTATCGCAGTCTTTTCATATCTATCTATCTATCTATCTATCTATCTATCTATCTATCTATCTATCTATCTATTCGTGCCGGGTGGCCTCCTTCACTCCTAGCCTTTGGAAATTTCCGTTTGTTTTTAAGGATGGAACTATAATGAAGATATGATTTACCTGTCAGTTCGAAAAATAAATATAATCAAATGAAAATGGCATGAATAAAAACGAAAACAGTTATTTACGTGGCAAATGCTGTAAAGATCCCTCGCTATTTTGTGCCGGATCAGCTTACCGACGAAGGTTTTTCAATCACCTCTTAAAAAGGGGAGAGTGATAATCAGTTTTGCCGGATCACGCAGAAAGCGCTCACTCCAGATTGACTTTGTGAGAGCAGCGTGCCAATCAGAGTTCCAAAAGTAATTTTAAAACAAACAAAGAATAAATGATAAACTTAGTCTAATACAATGCTCCCACGGAGAAGTAAAAATAAGTATGCTGAATAAAATGCTTGTGTTACTTGTAAAATTCTTTTATGACATTTTTTATACATTGTGAAACCTCAACAGAAATTCCTGCCTGCAGTTAATTTTACGGCATTTTCATTCGGTTTAAAAAATCATCACAATGTAAAAAGTGCAGTCCTATGTGATATCTAATCGCCTATAATGCCAGTGAACATTACACAATCTCTGCACAGGTTTTATGAATTTAAGCACAGTACTGTATTGGCTGGTAGGTCTCGTCATTTTACAGTTGAAATTAGTATTGATAGCTCGACTTCGTAAATTTAAGCGTAGTACTAGATGGGTAGTTAGGCCTCGGCCTTTTAGAGTAGAAATTACTCCTGGGTACCTCGATTTCATAGATTTAAGCGTACGACTAGATTGGCTGTTAGATCCCCTCATTTTACAGTTGAAATGACTAATGCTTGTTTTTATTTTTATTTTTTATTTTTTTATTTTTATTTCTTATCGATTAAAACCGATTAACACCGATTAAAATAAAAGAAATAAATAAAAATATAAGATAAGAAATAAAAAAAATAAATAAAAATAAATAAAAACAAGAAAAATAATTTAACACCAAAAAATAAATAAACGACTTCCGGTAAAATAACCGCCAAAATAGACTACCCACAATGCACCACTGACCCGTATATATAAATAGCCGAGGAAAATAACAGCACTCGTGGCCTGATGATTGCATCTAGTATGAAACAGACTGTTGCCTCTAAGTGTTGACTTCTATGTTCACTTCTATATATATATATATATATATATATATATATATATATATATATATATATATATATAAGGAGGAGAGAGGGAGACAAACAGAACTTGAAAAGAGCTAGAAGAAGAGCCGAAATCGCTTACATAAACAAATGCACGTTTCCTTCATTCTATAGCCACAGATTTGTAAGGAAATGCGACTGATTAGTAAAAAGCAAAGAATAAAGTAACACTTCTTTTACTTGTAATAAAATGTATATCAATAAAATGTATATCAATAAAATGCTGATACCACAGGTGCAAATTGTCTCAGATAAATTCGGAGCAGTCGAACATTCTATATAAACCCAATGTCGCCTATGTGAGAAGGTATCAACTGTATAATAGGGTAATTTCTTGTAGATGACTACTTTTTGGATTGTTTTTCTTCTATGTACTGCGTCTCTTCAGGATATAGGCAAACACGGCCCTTCACAACTTCCTATCTCGTCTGGCACTTTTTCTTCCCTTGTTAAGTCTCTCAACACCCGTTACGTCATTCATGCAATCAAATAAGTCGCTCGCTGCCTTCCCTCATCTCTCTTGTCCTGTGTATTTCCCATGAGAGTTATGTTTTCTAAGCCTTTTTTCCTCATTATGTGTCCAGTGAATTTCAGCTGTCTTTACCTAATTACTTTTTTTTCTCTGTTCTTTAAGACCTCCTTGTTGCTTACTCGCTCTGTCCAATTTAATTCTCATCATCCTTCTGTAGAACTACACTTCTGCTACCTTTAGTTGTTTCTTCATCCGTAGGGAGACTGTCCAACATTCACTGTCATATAAGAGGACTAGCAGTATAACCCGTCTTCGAACGGGTCTTTCATTACTGGGAATTTTTACTGTTCAATTGGAGCAGTTTAAGTTTAAAGACAGCCCACCCGAAAATCAGTATTAGTAACAACAATTAGTTGCAACCTAGGAACATCCCCAAATGGAAGGTTAACAAGTTGATGGGGGGGGGCTAAAATGGTCCGTTTTTGCGTTGTCAATCTTGTTTCAGCCTCACACACTGCAGCAGTTGAAAAGGCGTTTCTCCTCAGAGGTTGAGTCCTTTGATCAGCAGTTTCAGTCTCACGCGCAGCAGCAGATGAAAAGGCGTTTCTCCTCAGCCGTCGAGTCCTTTGATCAGTAGTTTCAGCCTCATGCACAACAGCAGTTAAAGAGGCGTTTGTCCTCAGCCTTCGAGTTCTTTGATCAGCAGTTTCAGCCTTACGTGTAGCATCAGTTGAAGTGGCTTTTCTCCTCGGCAATTGAGTCCTTTGATCAGCAGTTTCAGCCTCACGCACAACAGTAGTTGAAGAGGCGTTTCTCCTCAGCCGTCGAGTCCTTTGATCATCTGCTGGCAGCGGTTTTGCGACCTAAGCAAGTTCTTTTCTTTGGTGGCATGTCTTAAGCAAGTATTAATTGTCAAATTGAATGCGTGGGCAAATACCAGAAGATGACGCTGTAAAGCTACAGGGAACACTAAGCTCGAATAACTTTAGGAAAGTTTGTAAAAAGAAATGAGTAATAAAAAAGAAAGATTATTAACTACTACAGTGAATGCAATGCAAAGACTGGCAAGATAATTACAAAATTGAAATTGGGAACGCCTATAAACAACAATGAAAGCAACACCTTAAAACTGTTGGAGTAGGCTTTATGCAATGGAAACGGTAACCTCACTTGAGAGATATTGAATTCTTAGCCTAAAGAAGGGGAATGTGTAATTCGGACTCAAAATTATCTATCAAAAAAAAAAAAAAAAAAAAGTCATCGAAATCGGATGAAAACTGTGGAAATGCATAAACAACATCCGGGCACACACACACACAGATACACACAAACATACAAACACACATACATTTTGAAAATTATAGATATAGATGAATATCACATAGCAATCCTGCACTTTTTCTTTCTATCTAGAGATGTTTTTTAACCATGCTTTCATATAGGAAGCTTATACTTAACATCAGGAAGAGGCAGCTGAACTTTCTGGGACACGTAATGAGAAATGAGGGCTTGGAGAATCTGATACTCACAGGTCGAATAGAAAGAAAGAGACAGGGAAAGCAACGCATGACATCCCTAGTGGCCTTAAGCAAGTGGATGATAGAATGTGGCCTGCGGGGGAAGGAGAAAAGGGACAAAACTTATTGAGAGCTACAAGGGATGGGGGAAGTGGAGAGCCATGATCGCCTACGTCCTGTACTTGTTTTGCGTTTATATCTCCAATTCAGAATTCGCATCCTTGCCTTGTATTTTGGATTAATTAGTCAAAACCCTGGTTGTTCAGTGTCAAAATCAAGTGTTTACTTGACTGCAGTCACTCAAGATATTTCATAAGAAAGGAATCTAAATTTAATCTTCGGTCGTAAAAACTTACGGCTAAAACCATCTCTGATCAGTATTCAAATAAAACAACAAAAAAACAAAAAAAACAAACCAAACCTGGCACGTATTTTGTGGCACACGTGCCGAGACAATCCTCTCTATATTGTCATTATTCTCATTTAAGATTATCCCGTACACTGAAGCAATTACGCATCATATTAAAAACCTGTTTGTACGTGTCGATGTGCAAAGTCTTTTGAGTGTCGGTCTACTTGATAATGGCGATTATTTTTTTCCAAATTTATTTTCTAAGGGATTTTGATATGAATAATGAGCTTAGTCCTGGAAATACATGATTTTGCATCGTTTAAGAAAGATATCACAGAATATTACTTGACGATTTTGATAACGTTTTTATCTTAATTTAGGTTTAAATAAAACCTTAGCATAAATTCCAGTTTAGTTTAAGAAACTAGTAAACGTTGACTGATCGATGGATGGCCCCAGAATTTTATGAAGCACCCACTTTATAGATTTAGGTGAAGAAACACTTTGGTTGATAAAATAACAGAACAAGTCGTCGATTGCAATAGCCAAGCAAGAAAACTGACACAAAAAAATGAATACTTAAGGTAAATATAGTTTAATAAGTAGTTAAAGCTATAAAAAAAATGTAGATATTTATTTCTGTTAAAATTTCCTTTT